CTGTTTATGGTTTTCGTCGCACAGGTCATGTGGCGTGAACTGAATTTCTAAACAGTCGGCAATTTCGTTGGCTTTTTCAGAAGGATAAAATTTAAGGCCAGAAGAACCATGAATAGCAGTTGGTGCCCTTGTTGCGTCTCTCTTAAGGAGAGATTTCACAATGGGCCATATACTCTGAGGTGTGACTTCAGCGTTACCTACGATATACCTCGTATATTTGTTTCCCACCGTTCAAGTGTCTTTTTACGGGTCATTCGCCTGATTGATCTGGTGACCCAATTGACTGCCGTTTTACACGCTGGATCCCTGGTTTCTTGCCTCAGTTTTCGTAGCCTCTGTTTATATGTTATCAAACGATCTAGACCAGGAAGATCGTTGTTTATGTCCAAAAGTGTAACTTTACTTGTCGACAACCTATATGCCGAAGGAATAGAGGCTGCAAATTCGCGTGCCGCTTTATCGGCTTCTAACCCCGACTTAATTTCTAGTTTAGGTGATATTAATTCAGAAGCGAGGCTTTGAAACCGCTCCCAATCTCTAAATTTTTCAATGGGTTCCGAAAGATTCCTAATTTTAACGTGATTCAGTATGTGAAATACTACTGGTAGGTGATCTGAGTCCACAATATCAGAGACGATGACATCTGACACTCTGATATTTTTGTGAATCACAATGTCTAACACGTCACCATTTCCCGCAGGGGAATAATGAGTGGGGCACTGTGGTGCTGAGATTTCGAAATAACTCTTATCAAATAAATCAATGAGTTTCAAGCCTGAAGGGTTTGAAACTCTGCTATTCCAAAATGGCTGTTTAGCATTCACATCACCTGCCAAAATAGTCTTACGTCTAAAGCTGAAGAGCTCATTGGTGTTAGTTCACTCCAGGTTCTGCCTGGAGATTTATAAAGAGCCGCAAGCAGCACTTCACTATTACCAATTGGTATGCAGACCCTTGTCGCTTTTACTGAAACAAGGGGTGGTAAGTCTACATGGTTATAGGGAATACCTCTTCTAACTGCAACGGCAGTTCCGCCTTTTCTGCCCGAGTAGCGGTCGATTCTATAAAAGTTGTAATTTGGAATAAAGAACCTATCATGAGGTTTCAGATGTGTCTCTGAAAACAGGGCCACATCTACGTGTAGATCTTGCAGCTGTTCACTGACCTCATAGAGCTGCCTATGACTTTGAGGGGCCTATGAACTCTAGTGGCCATTTTGGTTCATTAGGTTTAATACAAATTTTGTGATTGCCAATATTTTTTCTTCCTCTGATACAGCACCACTGAATTCTGTCATAATGTGCTGTACTATAGTCACAACTCTCAACACATTGTCGAGGGGTTGACTGTTCACAATTGGAGCCCGAATTGACTGACCTGTTTGTTGATCCTGTATAGGGACCGGGACGCTCGGTTTCGTGGCTGCTGCAGGAACTGCCACTGGTATTTGGCGAGTCTGAAGTCGCTGCTCCTGCGATGTGCTGCCTCGGAGCACTGCCGCGAAGGAGACTCCAGAGGTAACGACATTCGAGGAGAACACCCTTCCCCCTTGTGGTTTTGGGTGCTCTCTGCGATTTCCTCCTCTGCAGTTCCTCCTTCGCGTGTCTGCAGCCCCGATAGTTGGCGGGATGTGGTTTCTCTCCCTCCTTCAACTGGCAATTGCAACAAGCTGGAGTAGAGGCAGTGTTCTCTTTCTCTGGGCACTCTTTGTGCAAGTGGCCACCCCCGCACCATATGCAACGGGGAGGTTGCTTACAATTAGCCCAGACGTGGCCAAACTGTTGGCAGTTGTGACATTGCGTAAGGCCACTCTGTGCTCTATATGCCTCAACGCGGATGGAAATGTGGCAAAGGCTTTGTAGTTGGAAATTTTCTTGAGATTTTGCCGTCCGGGGTAGGGTAATAAGGAAGAGAGGAAGGTTTCTTGATATCCTTTCTTATGAAGGCGACCCGCGGGTGGTTGTCATCTGTTTGACGCTAACCACATCAAATCCCAGGGTATTTAAACTCCGCTAGTGAAAGCGCAAGCACACGCCGCTAGTAGAAGCGCATGCACAGTCCTAAATATTTATTTTTAAATGTAGTAATTACCAGACCGACTTGAGTAAAACTTAATAGAGGAATTAAAATAATACCTAACTGAACAACAGCAAATAGAAATATACGTATGAGTTATGCCAAAACTTATCCACAATCCAGTAATTTTATTGCAGATTCTGCAGATAGGTATGTTAAAAATATATTGTAAAATTCGATGTACCTACCTTTTTTGTTGTTACCTTCTTGATGTATATATAGGTTCAAATGAAACTACAGTATTCGATTTCACTACGAACGCACACAAAACAGATCACGCTCTGTATCTCAGCCATGATGCAGCGGTCTGTTCATTCAAATAGAAGGGGCAATAAGGTTTTGCAGCCCTAACGGAAGGTCTTAGCACTGAAGAAGGGACCCCTATAGCTTTCTCTTGAATAGCCATTCTTTCATTCGTCTGACCTTCAGTCAAGAATTCGAAAATCCGAAGGGTGTAAGCAGCGCTAGCAGAAGACCAAATGATTTTATTGCTTCAATCTGTTTTATGACACCAGCGACTGATAACATTTGTCAAGTGTTACAAACAGAAATGAATTTATAATGCAGAACAACTCTGTGAAGAACTGGGAAACCATTTTTGCAGTACGCATCAAAATTAAAACACAAAAAATTGAAAATAGAGTATAACACTTAGTATTAAAAATTTCAAATCTTCCGTTATAATATGCGACACTATGTTCTTTTCTGATATAAAGAAAGTTAATTCCATCCATTTGTCATAAAAATTGAGCTAGATAGAGCATTTTTAAACACGACGCTTAAAATTGATTAAGCGCCTAACAGGAACGGACATTTAAACACAGAGTAGCAACGGGCATTTAAACGAGCACCAGCAGCGGGCATTTAAATAAACTCCGGCCAGCTCTAGCTTACCACTATTTCAAAGTCCGGCGTTTAAAGGTTAAGTTGCATTGTATATGACATTACTTTTGTACCAGTCCTTACACTGTCTCTGCTACTGAAGCCAGTGTCCAGACCATTTCCATCCAGTATGCATATGATGTGGGTAATAGTTATAATGCAGAGGCTAACCTGAAGAACCCCCATCCTAATAAGTACTTCCTTTCTGTTTCAGAATTTGTGTGTTAATAAAGCCACAAGTGTTGGAGCTGCCATCAGTTGAGGGTATGAATTTATATGGATGTCACTGTTAAATCTGTAGTTATATAAAATTTATGTTAATAAAAGCGCATTTATTATGCTACACTGTTATGCTTAATTGTGCATCTACTCAGTAATTTTTTAATGTTTGTCTGCCTACTAGCCTTCTGCTACAAATATTTGCTTTTATCCATTTTTAAAATGAAATTAGATTTTACACCAGCTTTTCCTTTGTCCTCAACCAAATCCAAATTATTAAAAATTTCGCAGGATTAATTAAATGTACAGTGTGGTTGCATTTTATGTGGATTTGAAATCCTGTGATATAAAAAATATTAATAAAATATCACTGTATGAACCAAGTTTCATAAAACTTATCTTGAATTCTGCGTGGTCTTCAGGAATGCATTCCTCGCATAAAATGCCACCGCACTGTACTTGAACACTAGTAATGAACAAGGTTCTAGCAGCAACCTGTCTTGCGTGACCCCAAGCATAAGTTTAACCCAACACTTTTGAGATCATGTGAAGATGTCTGAAGTGAACACTGAGGAATCGAAGAGGTTGGCAGAGTGGTAATAGGCTTGATTCATATTTGGGAGTTGCTTGGTTTGAATCTCAGCTGAGATGCTGGCTCTCCTGACAGGTTTCTCTGTGATTTTCCTTGATTCCCCCAAAGCAAATGCCAGACCTCTGTCAAAGCCATAACAACTTTTTCAGTCCCTCTCCAGTTAATGATTCATGTGTCATCCTACCATTCAACACTATCTGGGCAAGCTACTGATGACACTGTAACATAACACATCCCTAAAACTCTGAGGGACCTATAGCTGTGTAGCTATTTTAGCTAGAGGGCATGAAGTTGGAGTGTCTTTGAGATGGTATTTGAAACCTGGAATTCAGTTGCTACTGTAGTTATCCCTGTTATAACTACTCTTGGTTAAAATGAATCTTAGGGTTGACTGTGGCTTAGTTATGATGGAACATGATTTCAGTCTCAAGGTACAATGCGTTTTCAGGAAGTGACCTGGTTGATTTTGGGTTGGACTTCAGCACAGTTAACTTAGGGGAGGTAAAGCAACATTTGTTCTCTGTTAATGAATTGTAATTCTTCAGTAAACAGTTTACAGTAAGTCAGTTTATATATTTATGATCTCTGATTATAAATTCTGCAGGGTGTAGCGATAGTGTCAGTCAATCAAAAGTAATTCATTCTAAATACTGCTTAATTACTCATTTATTAGATGTCCATAAGATTCATAACTAATGATTATTTAAAATCATTTACTTACTTACTTACTTACTTACTTACT